ATTTTGGTCTCTAATTTATAATCATCTACATTTACAACATAAATTCTCTGCAACAAACACACAGGGCAGAAAGAATGTGGTGTTTGACGTTTTGAATGAAGTGACTTTTTGTCCCAATATGAAAATAAAGGGCTCATCATATAAACAAACATACATCCCACTCTCATGAAAAAGTGTAGTGGGCTTATAGTACTTTTGTCCAAGTATAAAAATAAAGAGCTCATTATGCAAACAAACATACATGCAGAGAAATCATGTTAGTTCTAGAATTTGTAGCCCCCCCTTAAATAACCTCTATTTTTTTTCATCATCACCTTTACATGTACTTTTGACATTCCCTCAATTAAGACTTTATGCTTAAAATCAGCATTGCACATCATAAAATAGCACATAAATTAGCAAGCCGGAGTAATGCCAAACATCCATCATACAGGGTTTAAAAAATATTCCCTTTTAACCCCCTTTTTTTTTTCTCTAAACCATTTTAGTCTACAAAACCCACATGTACATGTACATTACATGACATGACATGTAATGCCAAAGGCTTGAAAATCTTTTTACCACCTGCCAAAGGTGAACCTTGACCAAAGAGGGATTGTCTACCATAGACAATTGTGCACAATACTGCCTGCCAAAGGCTTTCCTCCAACCCAAGGAGTAATAGAAGTCTAGCTAAGACTTAAAAAAATACCATGACTATCAAAGACATTATGCAGTGAAAATCCCCTTTAAAATTTTAACTAGTGAAAAACCCCATTACAAATGCAATGTGTGGGGGATGGGAGAAGCAGGTAAAGAAGGACTTTAAAGATCCTCTTACCTGTCATCTCCGTTCCATCCAGTTGCACCCAAAAACTTCTGACACCAATTTGTTGGGGATAAAATCAGCCCGGGCCCTTTGTGGATGATGGATATTTGCCAACTCATTCAGAGCTCTGGAAATTGGAAATGAATAGCAGAGACGTGTTCAATAACCAATTCAAATTTTATTCCTCCGTCAGTTATATTAATACCCCGTTTTCATAGCAGGATGGGAGGGGGGAAAATGAGCATATGGGCATGACAATGACATTGTTTTTCACAAGTTATGAGCAGCTGTTTCTTATTATAATTCTACGTTATATAACGCATGTATATTTGATCAAAACAAGATATTTACAAATACCAAAATCTTGGACAATTCACAAGAACATTTCGAAATCAGTATGGTCATTCTGGTAACTGATATTAGATAAATTCCAAATTTTTTCTTGGTTCACATTAACCCTTATATGAACCACTGGCGGATCCATGGGGGTGGCAACGGGGCAATTGCCCCCCCCGAGAAATCCGACGGTCTCCCTCCCCTGCCAGCACATGCAGGCGCTAGCCCTGCAATGTGCCTGCGGACCGGAGGGGAGATCAGAGATCTCCCTCCCGGTCCGCAGACACTGTGCAGACAGCCGGCAGGGCTCAGTCTGCAGCTCCTCCGGGTCCTCCTCTCGCGAGATTTGGAGCGTTGCTTCGGTTACCGTGGCAACGCTCCAAATCTCGCGAGAGTGAACTCTAGCCCGGGAGCGCGGGCTAGAGTTCACTGTAACCACTGGGACCACCAGGGAATCACCACTGGGACCACCAGGGAATCACCACCAGGGAATCACCACTGGGACCACCAGGGAACGAAATATGTCCCCCCTCCTCCTCCTCAATAAAGGTAAGAAGGGAGGGGGGACATAGGATATTTGCTTTTTAATTAAATAAATAAAGATATATATTATAAAAAAAAGCCCCCCGTATCCTTAACACACACACACATAGCCCCCATACTGCCCCCCATACACATACTACATACTACCCCCCCATACAACTGCCCCCATACACATACTGCCCCCCCATACACACATACTGCCCCATACACACATACTGCCCAATACAAACATACTGCCCCCATAATCACACACACTGCCCCCATACACACACTGCCTCCCATACACACATACTGCCCTCATACATACACACTGCTCCCCATACACACACACTGCCTCCCATACACACATACTACCCCCATGCTGCCCCCTATACACACATACTGCCCTATACACATACTGCCTCTATACACACATATACTTGCCCCCTATACACATATTGCCCCCATGTTGCTCCCCTTCTATACACACAATGCCCCCCTATGCTGCTCCCCCCATACACATATACTGCCCCCATACACACACACTGCCCCCATACACATATGGCTCTATACACATTATACTACAGTTCTATACACATACTGCCCCCTATACACACATACTGCCCCCCCCCCATACACACATTGGTCAAGCCCCCAAGTATGCACACATACTGCCCCCATGCACACATACTGCCCTCATACACACATACTGCCCCCTATACACACACACTGCCCCCATACACTGCCACCCCATACACACACATTGCCCACATTCACACACACACTGCAACTGTTACACACACATACTGTCCCACACATACACTGCATCCCTGACATACACTGCCCCGCCTACTCACACACTACAACCTTCACACACACACACACACACACACTGCTCACACACACACACACTGCACCCCTTACACATTGCACCACTCACACACACCACTGCTCCTATGCCCTACTACCGCCCCATTTCCAAGCAGACCTCAGGTAAGTTGTCAAACTGTTCTTAAACGGTTTGACTACTTACTCTAGGAGGGGGTCCCGGCACTATTGACACCATAACCACTACACTGAGCTGTAGTAGTTATTGTGTCTGGATTATTTCTTTAAATAATCTACAAGTGCCCCTCCCGAGATCAGGCTCTGGATCCGCCACTGATGGGGGGGCAGTATGGGGGCTATGTGTGTGTGTGTGCGTTAAGGGTGGGGGGGGCTTTTTTTTTTTATAATGTGTATCTTTATTTATTTAATTAAAAAAACAAACAAATATTCTATGTCCCCCCTCCCTTCTTACCTTTATTGAGGAGGAGGGGGGACATATTTTCATCCCTGGTGGTCCCAGTGGTGATTCCCTGGTGGTCCCAGTGGTTACAGTGAACTCTAGCGAGATTTGGAGCGTTGCCGTGGTAACCGCGGCAACGCTCCAAATCTCGCGAGAGGAGGACCCGGAGGAGCTGTAGACTGAGCTCCGGGTCCTCCCTCTCCGTCCCCTGCCGGCTGCCAGCACAGTGCCTGCGGACCGGGGAGGGAGAGCTCTGATCTCCCCCCCGGTCCGCAGGCACATTGCAGGGATAGCACCTGCATGTGCTGGCAAGGGAGAGGGAGACCGGCGGATTTCTCGGGGGGGGCAATTGCCCCGTTGCCCCCCCCCTGGATCCGCCAGTGGTCGGGCCTGGAAAGTACTTGGATGGGAGACCGCCTGGGAATACCAGGTGTTGTAGGCTTTTGCTTTTTCAATCTCCTACCAGCAGAGGGCGATCTACGCTATGCAATTTCACCCAAAAATTGCATTTAAAAAACAAAAAAAGAGATATGTACAGATATTTCACCTCCATCTATCCACACATACATTCCAGGATGGCAGTCAGAAGTGACATTTAAGTGCAAGACATAAGCAAGGCTTTCTATACTCCACTCCAGCAGTGAACAAAAGTAACCAGCAGCACTAGCCCTTTTGAGCAGTGAGTTGCAACAGCAGAAAATGAAGAAGCTGTGAGGGAGGTGCCTGGCTGTTGAAGAACAGAATAAGAGGGGGTTAAAGGAGCCTAGTTGCTGCCTACGGCCATACCACCCTGAACACGCCCGTTCTCGTCTGATCTCGAAGCTAAGCAGGGTCGGCCTGGTTAGTACTTGGATGGGAGACCGCCTGGGAATACCAGGTGTTGTAGGCTTTTGCTTTTTCAATCTCCTACCAGCAGAGGGCGATCTACGCTATGCAATTTCACCCAAAAATTGCATTTAAAAAACAAAAAAAGAGATATGTATAGATATTTCACTTCCATCTATCCACACATACATTCCAGGATGGCAGCCAGAAGTGACATTTAAGTGCAAGACATAAGCAAGGCTTTCTATACTCCACTCCAGCAGTGAACAAAAGCAACCAGCAGCACTAGCCCTTTTGAGCAGTGAGTTGCAACAGCAGCAAATGAAGAAGCTGTGAGGGAGGTGCCTGGCTGTTGAAGAACAGAATAAGAGGAGGTTAAAGGAGCCTAATTCCTGCCTATGGCCATACCACCCTGAACACGCCTGATCTCGTCTGATCTCGGAAGCTAAGCAGGGTCGGGCCTGGTTAGTACTTGGATGGGAGACCGCCTTGGAATACCAGGTGTTGTAGGCTTTTTGCTTTTTCAACCTCCTACCAGCAGAGGGCGATCTACGCTATGCAATTTCACCCAAAAATTGCATTTAAAAAACAAAAAAAGAGATATGTACAGATATTTCACTTCCATCTATCCACACATACATTCCAGGATGGCAGTCAGTAGTGACATTTAAGTGCAAGACATAAGCAAGGCTTTCTATACTCCACTCCAGCAGTGAACAAAAGCAACCAGCAGCACTAGCCCTTTTGAGCAGTGAGTTGCACAGCAGCAAATGAAGAAGCTGTGAGGGAGGTGCCTGGCTGTTGAAGAACAGAATAAGAGGAGGTTAAAGGAGCCTAATTCCTGCCTACGGCCATACCACCCCGAACACGCCCGATCTCGTCTGATCTCGGAAGCTAAGCAGGGTCGGGCCTGGTTAGTACTTGGATGGGAG